TAATCGTCACTTGGGAACCGAACTCTCGTCTTTACCTTTAGTTTTACTAAGAGTTTTACGTCACTTGCAACATAATAAGGTCATGTAAGAGCCGAATAGATATGTTACAAGACAGTAACATACACAAAAAGGAGGAGAGATAAGGACGATAGGTGTTTGATAGGAAAGGAGCAAACCACACCAGAACAGCCGCCAACCAACCACCATCTTTACCTGCGATGGCGAAGTGCCTTACCATTACACCAAACCACGGACGCTATAGTGGCACCAGAGACGTGGCACATTTGTATAAAGAAGTAGACCTCAGCAAAGCGCCAACAACCACCTGAAAAAAGGTAAAAGTAGATGTTTTACTCCCCTTTCGGCACCATGTCAACATATTATTAGGACGCGAGCTGCTCCGACCCTTCCGGTCAGGGCCAACCCGGGCTGACAGGAATACATGTTACAATAAATGTACCAAGTTCCAGAACATATACTGAGATATGCGAGAATCGAACCCATATCTTCTTCGTGCGCAGGCAAAGCTCGTAACTGCTACACCACGGACACTGGTTGGTTCCACCCGCTCATAGAATGAACCAAATCACGCCCTTTCAACATGGCAAGGTAATTACAGACTTCAACATAAGTTCCACTTGCAAATTTGGTTAAAATTCCCCCAAGGATTTCCGTGCTGCACGTTGTGGTTTTGCAAGCTTTGCAGTATGCATTGTCAACCAATTAACACTTTCAAAGCAATAAATGTTGAAACATTCCTTGTTGTCTTTTTTTCTGATTTTTTAAAATCATGGCTGTCTGTCAAGGTGGTCCTTAACTTATGTTGAAGTCTGTATAAGGGGCGAGACATAGTGGGTAGAGATTTGGAGAGCCTTGTAAAACTTCCGAAGCAATCCGAGTTCAAGAAAGCCTCTTCGCGGGTTCAAATCAGGACCATCAACCCCATATTCCCAACATAGTACCAACTGAGGTAATGGATGAAGACTACCAAATGAAAGACCAACCAAATTATCACAAACTCTCAATAAGACTGGTTTCATTTTTTATTTTTAAAGTTCAACGTGAAGCCGACTATACTGCAAGGGGGGTGGGGGAGTAAGAATCAATTGATCAACGCAGATATTTGTAAAAATTGTGTTTATTATCACACCATAGAAATCATCAAATGTACAAAAAAGAAAATCAGCATACACTAAAATACTTCCTGAGAAGTATCTCAACAAAACAGTTTTTCTTGACAGCGGAATAAGAGCAAGGGGGGTAGAAAACAAAAACTATTTTTAAAAAACAATTTAAAAAACTCAAAAAAAACAAGCAAAAAGGGGACACTCAGATTAGTATATTAGTAAAAGATTAAGCTCTCCGCCAAAACCAAAAAAAATAAAGGATTACTTACATAGGCCTAGTACTAAAATAGAGTAGAAGTGAGAAAGGAGTTTTACTGAAACACGAGGTGACACATGCATCTTATTATGTAGTTCGGTAGTTTCCCCATCCCATCCCCGTTTAAATTTGATTTTTACCTCTTCTTAATTATGATACAATACAATGATAGTCTAAAATACTGACGACCAAAAGCAATCTTAAAAACTAGAAAAGCGGAATAGTACAGAGAGAGAGAGAGACAGACAGACAGACAGAGAGAGAAAGAGAGAGAGAGAGAGAGAGAGAGAGAGAGAGAGAGAGAGAGAGAGAGAGATGGGGTAGAGGGTGTCATAAGGCGATTTGAGCCAGGGGAGGGGAGGGGGGAACTTTCAGCAGGACATGCAATCTGTGTCTTGTTTTACAGCAGTTACAAACCCTTTTTAAGTTGTAAGGTATTTCCCAATATGTAGATTGTAGAGGTAGAATAACAGAACAATAAATGCTGAGGTTTTAGAAAATGCTAAGAAATATTCGAATCTGCACAAATTATTACCAAAAAATTCGCACATCATTTAGATTTTAGACACAGTCAACACTGTGAGGTCACGTTAAGAGCTTGGAAGCATAAAAGGAAAATTAAAACACAAATTATGTAACTAAAACTGTGCGTATTTTACACCCCCAACGACACAATTTAGATCATTTAGATAGCAAGCTATTTCAACCGTGCCTGTCAGAGCCATCCTGGGCTGAGAGGAAAACAATGCTGAGGTAGACACAGAGAGAAACTTGATTTTAAAAAGAACTTCCAACTCGAAGAAAATCGAACTCACATTTTCTGCATACAACGGCAAAGCACCTATTGTACTGCTATACCACAGACGCCAGTAATTTAGGTACATGTGCTCAACTGACAAAAGGTGACAAGAGAAATCATCAAGAACCCAGTCAAACTGTCCTAGACATACCGGTAGGCTATGCACATTCTACAACAGTGTGGGCCGAACGGCAAACTAGTGAATCAAAACGACAACAGATAACACATAGCAACCTCTTAAATACTTTGTTTACATTCTCTAAAAATAATATTTAAAAATAACTACTAAATAAAGAAATAAATAGATAAAGAAACACCCCCCCTCCCCCCCCCCCTCCCCGTCCTAAAAAACACAGGGAGGATAACTGCCAACTCCTAGTAAAAATATAAGAACAAGACAGAAAAAAAAAATAATAATAATGGAAGCAGCAGTAGAATCACAGACAAAAGAATAAATCACAAATCATAAACCAATTCATAATCAGACCCATAATTCAATTCAAAATCAGGAATCATAATTCAATTTATAATCAGAAATCAGAAATCAATTCATAATCAGAAATCATAAACATGTTAAAGTCTTTTTGGGCCCACAACTCAAACTTACTTGATCTACTACTTACATCTCCACTTTTTGAGGAGCTTCATTTGGGGCATTTATGTATTATCAAATCATGCACTAAAGATGCTATTAATTCAATTTTGGGGGGGGGGGGGGAGCGCTTAAGTAGACTTTTACCCAAAAACCATTCATATTGACCAAAAGTTGATTTACCTGCGCCAGATGTACATCTTCACTATACTATATGTGCACTGTTTTAGACTCACTGTTAAATTTTTTATTTTTTTTAAACACCCACAAACTTGTGTAATTTATCATAATATATTGTTATTGTTATATATTTTTTTCACATCACCGTCAGCGCAATACAACACAGTCTTCTTATTTTCCCAAACAACACTGAATTAAAAAAAAAAAATTCTCCTTCCAACTTTCCTGAAAAATAAAAGAGGCGAGAATCCCAAAACAATTATGGAAGGAAAGGACACTATTGTATCAAAAGAACATCTGAAATCTACAAATATATATATATATATACTCATATTTCCGTCTACATTGTAAGCAGGTCAGTGTGAATAAAATATTTCTATACAAAGTTGTGTACAAAAAGAACCCAGGAAACTGACAAGCATTTATAAAGCTATAAAGAATGATTACTAACAAGATACAAATACAAAAATTCAAAACAAATAGCCAGCAAAACAAAGTTCAAATTAGATTGTACGAACCCTATGTACATTGTGATAATTTAGTAAGTAACCAATTCATAAATATGTACAATTTGGTCCAAATATAAAAGTCCACTTTCATATCACCAATAAACTGAGGAAAAATATATTGGTCATTGAGTGAAACAGACAGTGAAGGTGAAGGGCAAAATGGGTACCAGTAAACTATAATAAGAACCAAGTAAAAAGTAAAATCCAATGCGCACAACACCCCCGTCCTTTTACTCTTAAGGAAGTAAGACAAAGAATGAAACAAAAGATTTCGCATAAAGGAGTATGGACGCTGAACATAAATACTTAAAATAACAAAAATTAAAAGAATCAGCGGCAAAAGGCTAAGCCCTTTCTCAAAACCGTATGTCAGAAAGAGTGATAACTTCCTTGCATTTTCATCTCAGGTCCACCTGCTTCTTTGTTTTGAAGAAAAGAAAAGTGCGTCGACATAGACCTAATAAAGGTCATTCAGAGCAGGGAAAAAAGCGAGATAGAAAAAAATAACAGAGGGAATGAAAAGAAGAAGGACCTACTTGACTTAGTGGCATCCTCCAACAATACTCACTCCAACCAAGAGTCTAAATCAATTCACTTTAGGATAAAGAACTTCAAATTGGGTAATTATGGACCATCAGTCTTTGACAATCCCTGGAGGATAAGTTCAATGAGAACAAACTACACTGCCAGTATTCAAGCATAGCACAAATGATAGAATTGTACAAAATGTGTTGTTATTGTTTTTTGAAGTAGAGAGTTGTATGGCGCTCGCAACTGCATAAGGTCATATGAGCGCCAAGGGGTGGGTGTCAACAGAGAAGTCTTTACAGGGAATCAGACTTAGACTGCTCACCTCTCTAGCTTTAACAGCACAAGGTCTGCTTCGACTATCAAGGCACCCCGGAAATAGCAGGTCACAAGAGAGTGACAAACATACAAAAGAAGTAGAGGAAAATAACAATAGTAAGGATCAGGAAAGAAAAAGCAGCAGTTCCCTGTTGTAGATCAGGCACAGTTATGAGCGTGACACGAGTCAGCCCATTTACAATTCTACTATGCTTGAACGAGAAATGTCCCCCCTTTGGGAATGGCCTAAAGACACTACAGTCAGTGGTACAAAATGTGTAAAAAGAATAATTCAGCACAAGTTCAGCACAGAGACCAAAGTTGATCCCAATTCCTAAGGGCTGTTTGATTAATTCAATGTTTTTAACGTCATTGCAGCAATTCATAAAAAGTCTATGAGAAAGAGGCCGGGACAATAATCTATGGCTGAGGCAATACTAGTTTTGAAAAACCTGGACTTTTATGGGGAAAAAAAAATCTGAATTTTAAATACGTTCTCAAAAATGCTAAGTAAGTCTTTGTAAAAAAACGGCATTTATGGCACTGAATATGACCTTGACTTTCATATCACCAATAAACTGATGAAAATATTGGTCAGCGAATGAAACAGATAGTGCAGCTGAAGGACAATTTCTACCCCTTAGAGACATTATCATAATGCATATTTTGAGACATATTATCTTTCTGTTCCATTTCCCAGCATCCAATGATATAACATCCCCCTACTCCTTGGTGACATAACCATGGGACAACACATCAATTTTTTTTTTTTAATCTGCACATATCACTTCACATCATTAGACTGAATGGTGACAGCCTGCACTTTGCTGGATAGAAAATGGCAACGATATGAGACAATCAAATAAAGATATGTATTTGAAAATAATAAATAGTTTGCCTATTAACATTTTTGTTCTTTTCTTATTCATAGATTTTCTTAACTTAATCAAAACTCCTCCATAAAATAAACATTCATTAAGATACCATAAACAAGACTACAAAAGGGTATCAAGTCGACCAAAATTAGGCCCAATCGCTTTCTGACTTTTCCGACATTCTTTCTGATAAGATCCAAACGAACGAAAAAGCATCATCACTTGTCCAACAATACATTTACCAGAATTCATTGTTAACAAAGTCCACCACACAAACCTTTCTGCGCCAGCTCAAATTCAAAACATAAGAATCAAACATAATGTCAGACTTTTCTTTTTACCTTGAAAATAATAGAAAATTTCTGTCTGCGTCTTATTCAAACATATATATCTGATACCCAAAGAAGATGGATAGTATCTAGAAAACACACTGTGAGACTACAGTGCATTCCACTTAAAGGATTGACAATTTATCGCTAGAATCAATACTGTGGCACTATATTATAATGACATAAATGTATTACCAACACGCTGTATATCTCATGTTGCCTTTTACATATGTATTTACAACACACTGTATGTCTCATCTAGCCTTTTACATATGAAACAAAAATAGTGAAAACGTGCAATCATCATGAAATGAGGAGCTGGTCTCTGAAAGGAAACAGGATATCAAAGAGCATTGTCACATTACACACAAGAGATGAAGCTGAGACTGATAAAACATACAGACAACAGTGAAAGTTTGATTTTCATCTCCAGAATTTGTCTCGTAACAAAACGACAGACATCTACACACTAGACAGCCTTGCTTCTGTAATTCCCATGAATATTAATATCCATGTCAAAACAATCTAGATCACTAAAGGGATGGTCTACTTCAGTCCTGCCTGTCAGGGCCAGATCAGGGTGTGCCTATGAAGTGATTTTGATTTTTATGTCAATATACCATACCTGTTTACTGTAATCGCGGATTTTAATCAGTGTACAAGTATGTTCAAGCAGCTTGAGATTTTTCAGTTAGAGTTTTTATTATTTCTCAATCATGCATGTGTTTGCCATACCTCTGGTTTTCTTATTGTGATGCACACTGAGCATCTCATCAGGCTAAAAATGGACAATATAAGTGCAATCTACTATCATTATATCAGCATGAGGAAAAGGGTGGATGAAATAATATTTTCTCCACATGGAAACTGAACTCATACAAATTCCATGTAAGGTGAAAAGTTTGATCATGACGTCATAGATAGCATATCGTTCTGTTAGTTTCTATTTTTATATTTGCATTAGCTTAACGCATTTTTATTCATAATAAAAACATTTCGAAGATCAACATGAAACTCTGTGGTTAGGTGATACTACAGAAAACGACAGAAAAGAAGACACATGATACACAAGAAAAAAACAAATTGAGCACATGTGAGCCAAGATAGTCGCACAATTTCACTGTTTAGGTGACTGTGCCTTCTGCTGAAGCATAGAGCGTCTACCATCATCACGTTTATTTGTTTGTTAGAGTTAAAGAGAAACATGTTGACTACATTAATCAATGTTTTAGGCAGAGGAAGTAAAAGCAATCAGATAAAACAGATGAATCAGGAAAATAAGTAGTACGTATCAATGGCTCCCTCCAACCACCCACAAGCATTTTATGCTGTCAGTGATAGAATCCTAATTCTCACAGATTTATTATCATCTACCTAATGTGGCATCAAAGAGAAAATTAAGCAGAGTTTATAAGACAGTAAACATTAAGTGACCAAATCGATTAAGTATGGTATTTTCTGAGACTGAATCAATTAACTTATACATGATGCCCTGTCAGTCCTAAAATAATAAAACATCCATCCTGTAATCATGAAACAATTAACACTTAAGCTATTAAATAGCTGTATCCTTCATTTTGGTATAGGTAGAAGTATTGCCTTTGAGAAAGAGAGCAACTCACATTGCCAGTACAATGTCAGCACAATAAATTAATGAAATGTCATAAAACATCAACAAGTGCTGTGATTCGTTCAGATTACCCCTATGGAAACAGAATTAATTACAGAGAGAGAATCTCAGAAACTGGATCCTATGAGTTTAAATCTGCAATGAAAATGGAGACACATTTATTCAATGTATGTAATACGAAAAAAAAAAGTAACTTGACCTCAAATACTGTATATTATGTCCAACATAAGAATCCCACTCCGTTAAAGAATTTATATTAACTTTGGTCCACTGCTTACTCCTCAGGTGTAACTGGAAAAAAACTACACTTGTTAGACTGAGGCTCACAAATAGTACTGCAAAATGCAATGACAAGCAGGAAACATTCTTTTTACACAAGCAAATTTTTGACACAAAACAAAATAAAACATATGGCTGGCTTTCAAAGCAACATCTAGTGTACAAAATTAGAATTAAATTTTATGATTTGTGATAAATAGATAGGCAATTTGAGACAAAGAGAAACATATCAACATGTTACAGAAGATGACATCAGTAGCATTGAACAAGGAAAAAAATGATGGAGCAAACCATGCTAGATTGTCCAAATGAGTTACCAGTAAGGAGAGAAAACACCTAGACAGTAGCGGTCATTTAGTGCATGGAGAAAAATTAAGTTAAGTAAAGTGAAGCAAGCACATCGACACTTTGATGGTCATTTAGTGTTAGGAAAAGCAATACAGACCACAGAAACAACTGAGGGAAAGTAAAGAAGTAGGGTCTACCAGTGGTGCCCTCCAACCACCTGCCCGAAACAAAGTGAACAGAAAAAAGTAACACCTACAGTGGTGCCCTCCAACTACAAACACTATACACAAATAGACCATTTGAAATCTATAATTTTATATTATCATGGTGACATGTGAAGATATCCACATCATATGCCAATTTACAAAATATAGACATTACAAGGGAAAGGAAATGTTGGAATCTGGCTATCCACCGGTCAATCTGAGACAGGGGAGATTATCACAATTGCTACAGGCATAGTAGTCAATATCACAGGGCATAATCGTGACAATTGGAATATATCATTCAAAAGACTTTTTTTCCTGCCAAGATGAAGCGCAAGTATGATTTAAACACATTCTTCAAACCAGCAGATTTTTTGCAGCAGCAATATATTGTAGCCTTAAATTGAAAACATGCTCTCCTGAGACTTGAAACAAGGAAAAGTTATTTTTGAGTATATGCTATGTAATATAGAGAACTTACAACAAAATGTTATAACGTCTTGATAAACAAATAGAATCTTAAATTTCTCATTGAGTAACAGATGAAGTAGACCTTTTTTTTATCCCAATGTGACATCATAGAATATGATTACTAGAACCAAAAACACAAAAAAAAACCTGTAACAAGCATAAGTCCCTTTGATAATTGATGAAGCCTCTCTTTCCGTTTTCTTTTCTTTCCCTTTCAAATAAATTGTTAGTCTTTCTCTGCATGCCTTTTTCCTATAAGACTATTTCATTGTTTAAGAGGTTTAAACCAACAGCAGAACTTTCTCCTTATTAAGCTATAACACTTAAAATAGTAATTTGTTCATAGCAAGAATGACAACAAGTTCAGAATACAGTAATGACAATATTTAAGGACTCCTAAAAGGCTCTTCAGCCCAGAAAGTCAAGATCTCTGTGTTTTTAATGGGTTCCACGTCCTACTAGACATAAATATATATGTTATTCCAACGGCATGCACATTGCAAAAGAAAAGGGACGGAATAATGAATAATTTAAGCCAGAGCTTGTTTATCTCATTTGCTTGTTTTAGTAAGCGTTTTACAGCACTTACAACGCAATAATCATATAAGCGCAAAGATTAAAGGTGTTACGAGAGAGTAACAAACAACACAAAAATATAAGGATAGAAGAAGAAGAGATAACGACAATAGAAGTTCAATAGGAAAGAAGGAGCAAATCACACCAGAGCAAAGAAAGAAGGGACATACCGTTTCCATACATTTTAAAACTCATTTTACAAGACTAATGTATAATATCTCACTGTCAGAACAAATCTTTTAGTTTAGTTTTTAGTAAGGTTGTACGGCGCTCATAACTGCATAAGGTCATATGAGCGCCAAGGGTGGATGTCAACACAGAAGTCCAAACGGGAAATCGGGCTTACTCTGCTCATCTTTCTAGCCTCAATAGCACAAAGTCTGCTTCAACTATCAAGACACCCCGGAAATAGCAGTTCACAAGACAGTGACAAACATACAAAAGAAGTAGAGGAAAAAAGACCATAGTAAGGATTAGGAAAGAAAAAGCAGTAGTTCCCCCTATGTTGTTCCATCACAGTATGAGCATGAGATTGGAAAATCAGCCCATTTACAATTCTGCTGTACATGATAAGAACATATTCCCCCTATTATAGGAATGGCCTAAAGACACTTCAGTCAGTGGGGGGGGGGGGGGGGGGGGCGCAAAACAAATCTTTCATTCACTATCTTTAAAAACAAGTGTGTGTTATATTTCTTTCATATATCAAACACATAATTCCACTAGCCTCAAGTTCAACGACACAAACAAAAAGGAAATGATAAAAAAGTTTATGGGCATTTTCCTTTTTTGATTTCAATCAAGCTGGAATCACACATTCCAATAGTCATACCATGTGTCACAATTCAAAAATACCTGGAAGTGAGGAGAATAAAAATAGACACAAGCCATAACAATCAATCCAGACAAAACTGCAGAACAGTCAAAGACATGAACTTTTCAAGCATACCTTGGAGCGTGTAAATCCAAGCAAATTTTCCCAAGCTAAGCAAGCCCCTTTTCATTGAAACTCACAACAAGTGGGTCACACGCAATGACACATGCATGACACTAAAACATAAAAGAAATGAAAGTTTAACAATAGCAGGATAAAACTGATTCCGACGAGGAAAGGTATAAATATAATGGAATGCTGTCATTTAACACATTTCCACAAAGAAAGAATATTTGCACATGTATTCGCCATGAAGGGGAATACTCAGGAATGTTTTTGGAAAATTAATTCCAAGCCAGTATGATATTTTACATCAATAACCACAAGTATAGTAGAGATAAAATAAGAACAAATTGGAATGTTTTCTGAAAAAAAACTTATTCATAATTGTTAACATTGAGATCACAGATAGGAGCAAAGTCGAGATAAGTCAACAGCATATATCATTTCACTTACACATTGTGTTAGTTAAATTAAATACAAAATAGCAATCCAAAAATATGATATATATAGTATACGCATCTTCTTCTAAAATGTTATTCATTATCATTAAAAAATAGACTTTGCCATCACATTTCCTAGACTTAAAATATTTCTAATTAAAAAGTATTTCATCTGATTAAGCTGAAGAAACTTAAAGTAATTCAGTAAGTCCCATATTACAGAGAAAAACAGAAGGGCAAGGAAAGAGCAGAAGTACTGACAGAGCAGAAGTACCATTAACTAGTTTTACCATACGAAGAGCATTTATTTTTTCGAAATCAACATTTCAATCCAAGTAGCTGCATAGGAAAAACATTTCAGTGGCACAATTCTTGCCTTTGTGTTGTGGAGTGTACTTTTATGATTTCGTAGAACACGCTACAGCCTACATTTCCAGGCATGTACCGGCCTACACAGGCACCATCATCTCAGGACACAGATTGAACTTTCATCCAAAACAGCGTGAACATTATCGCCTGAACTGATGTAACAGCCCCTACTGCAGAAAGAGTAGCTAAAATGTTTGCAAACGCTTTGTCGTTCGTATAACAAAGCACAAAAAATTGAGTTGTAAAGGAATCCTCTTATAAAAAAGCCATGAATCTATGCAAAGCAAGAGGACAAAATGAAAGATAAGTAAAACCTAGCTTCCAAATTTAAACGGTCAAAAAGAAACTAGCAATTTTAAAAATGTCTAATTGCAAGCAAATAATCAGAAAAACACAAATTAGAACAAAACTATTTTTAAATAAACTGTCTTCAAACTGTAAAGTTTGTGTGTCAATGTCAGAAGTAACTGAGCACAAATATAGTCAATACAGAAAACAGGCTTTAAAAAGGACAGTTAAAAATCCAAACCTTAAGATAACTCAAATTCTACAGGAAAATGTGAAAAACTAATTTTTTCTCACTATATCCCTTCTTGACTGGCTGCAGGAAAAATACTGTTATGAGAGTATTTGGCTGCAAACAACATACATGAATGATAAATTCATATTAACACTCCCAGAAAAAAATGTTGATTGCATACACACAATGTGAATAAATTAACAAATCATACAAAATCAGCAGATACTTGATGAAACACACTCATCTTCCCACAATCAAGCAGAAAACTCATCCTCACAGACATTCGCAGTCACCACAAAGTATCGAGTACAGCACTGCTGAACTTCTGACAATTCCAGTTTCAAATTGTTAAGTTACTGAGGAGGTCCACAATGACCAAACTCTGCTCTGTTTCGCTCACGTCTTCTCTGGTAGGGTTCTGTACAGGCAGATGGACAAGACCAGTTCCACAAGCTGAAGAAAAACATTTAAAACAAAAATTTACGCCCATGATGGGTTAGCATGATCACGGCAACACTTTTAAAAAAAGAACCATATCAGTTTACAAAGTCTGAGAACAGAGAAGCATACTGACACAATAAACGGTCGATTAATGCTGAGAAATAGTAAGACGGTCAAATAAAACAGATGGGAATTTTTTTAAGTAGTACCAGATGCCCCCTCCAATCACCCTCAGAAAAAAATTAAAACAAGGAGAATGTAGAAAAGAAATGAAAGGAACAGACTGCAGCAGAAAACTCAACAAATACCTGTTTGAAGGAAAACGTTCAATAAAAATCCCATATCACGTATTAACCACTACGATGTTTCAAACTAAGCTACAAATTCCTGCCCGCTGATGAAAGAAACACATTTTAATTCTTTTTCTTTATTTCTGTCATCCAAGATTTTTCCTCAATCTAAGACTCCTAGTTCCCTACTTTTACAACCCCTTCCTGAAGTACAAATTTTTAATATAAGTGGCATAAAACTCTTACTTGTCTGAATCAGAAAGGAAATTAATTTTGCTGCTTATAAATAAAAAATATTTCACTTTGACAACGGATGCTACAATGAGAGAACAATACAAAATGTATCTAAAGTTTGTAATTCAGTGTCTCTATGGAAATACAGTGGCATCATCATCTCACTGGATGATAAAAAAAAAATTTTCTCCAAAATAAAACTTTTCTTCCTGCATCCTTATAATGATACACAATGATAAAAAAAAAAAAATTATACTGAGTTGTTCAATAAAAGTTAGCTTTTCAGTTACTTTTGCAGTGATTAAAAAGATTCCAAGTAGAAATAGCTCTGAGTTAAGGATATCAACATGATAATAGTCATTCAACTCAAGGATAGAGCAAAACTTCACAGGTGGTACAATAGAGGGATAGTACCAAAAAAAAACCCTCCTACCACAAACAAATTTTATGTTCTTTCTGATTTAGATTAGTTTGAGTTCGAGTTTTACAGCACTTGTAACACAAACAGGTCATATAAGTGCCAAAAACTAGAAGTATTACTAGAGTGCAAATGCAACATGCAAAGAAAAGATGGAGCTATGGACAGCAGATCTTTCTTAGGAAAGAAGGAGCAAACTGCATCAGAGAACCTGCCAACTGCCCACTGACCTTTCAGACAAAGTAAAACAATTTTGAAGACAGATTACAATACTGACCATGAAGAGGCCAACCACAATTGCTGTGGTACCAATTGTGATGCCAGTGCGGTGGAGATATGGATCCAAAACGTCAAAGCAGCCCTTGAGGATAAAAATTAGATATAATAAATAAATAATAAAAAATAGCAATTGTATAGTGCATATCCCCACTCGAAAGCAAGCTCTATGCGCTTTATACAACATTATTACCCCAGCAGACCATAGAGCACTCAGAAAACATTCTCAGCTTCCCAGGAAGCATTCAGAGCAAGCAGCTGGTTAAGTGCTCAAACACTAACAAACTGACTAGATCTTTCCTTGTCTATAGCTGGGTACCCATTTTCACCTGGGTGAAGTGGGGAAAATTTGTGTAAAGTGCCTTTCCCAAGGACACAACATCGGGCCCGCGGCTCCAACCCCCAAACTCGCAACCTCATGATTACGAGTCTGGTAGCCTAACCACTAGGCCACTGATGCCACAAGATATAGTATTGTAATATCACAGTTGTTTTTGTTGTTGTCGACGTTGTTGTTTGTGATGGGACAAACTTTTTGACAGAGGGAACACAGCAACAGTTATATCAAACAGATTCACCATGACCCTTCTGACGAAGCCAAGTCAAAATCTTAAATTCCTTCAGGGCTCAAAGTATCATTCAGGAATTCATAGTAAGTAAAATGTTACAAATTCCATAAGAGTATTTTACTCTGTTTTTCACCCATGATCATGACGATGATAACTATGATGATGATCATCATCACAAAGCAATGGTAATGATGATGATGATGATGATGATGATGATGATGATGATGATGATGATGATGATTTTGGTTTGTTTCCTTAACGGGCCTGGCGGACTCCACGAAGAAATCTTCGAGAGAGAGCGAGGCTCTTTTTCGGCTCCATTGTCAATATGCACAGCGGCACCTCCACTCGTCCAAATAACTCCATTCGAATTGCCATTGTTCCTGGACATTCAAACATATGTTTGACATCATTGGCGAGTAGAGGTGCCTCTTTGCAGTGACTTTGGTGTCGGCTGCAGAGCTTCCCCATTGGTTGTAGCTGTCTTTGTTGAGAACAGTACTCTGCATGGTGAAGGGAACGGCTTGCCACTTTGAGTATCTGATGATGATGATGATGATGAAGATGACGATTATATGAAGATGATGCCAACAATGATAATAATGTTGATGGTGCTAAAACCCTCACCCTTGTGTACAGTGTGTAGCCCCAGGTGCTAGAGTTTCCCTTGACAGGCGGAGGTTGTCGTGGCGGGTAGCCAGGATTGTTAACGCTCCCTGTACACAGTGCCAAGTTGGTCGTGCCCAGGCAGCAACTGTCGGGGACATAACTTCCATCTAAGGGAGACAAAAATCAGTGAGTATGAAGTTCCAAATGTTTTATGCTCTAAATTTCTTTACCAATTTACTCTGATATATTCTTTGAGCCACAAGTATTTTCTAACCACAAGCAACCCCACCTTTTAAGAAAAACAAACAAACAAGAACCCAACCATAACAAAATTTTTCTTAAACCCAAAATCATTTAGAAAGAGGAATACAGCATCCCAGCAAAAAACAGAGTCACTAGATAAAACATGCCTCTCCACTTCAGAATCAACCTCAAGTCTCTGTGTGTAGCAGCAAAGAGCTTAACAGCTACACCACAGACACCAGTTTGATGAAAATCCTTCACCTCTTTTCACAGAATACATGGCATCAGTAGCTTAGTGGACAGACTACAGGACATTCAACCATACGGTAGCAGATTAAAATCCTTATTCTGGCCAAACATAAAGCACTGCATTTTTGGAAAAGACAATTTACATAATGTTTCGTCACTTCACCGGGGGTGGGGGAGGGGGGGTGGGGGTGTTAAAGCACCCAGAAGTGACAGTGAAAGATATTGTGACTATGGCAGTGCTTAAGAACCTGTACAATTGCAGTTTACACTAAATGTTCAACAGGAAGCTGAAAATGTTTTGAAAAGTTACCGGTACAACGAGTTCATGTCATGGTAATAATAAATTCTTAAGTGCCTACAGCTTTCTTTGTGAAGGGAACTGTACTACATAAATCAACTGCTCTATATACGACCTCATCATATTTCGCTTTTCAAAATGACATATGGGAGAGTCTTACACTAAATAGTTTAGTTTTAGTAAGAGTTTTACGGCCCATGCAACACAATAAGGTCACATAAGCGCCGAAGATTAGAGGTGTTACAAGAGAGTAACAAAAACAAAAAAGAAGGAGGGGAGATAAAGACGATAGATGTTTGATAGGAAAGAAGAAGCAAGCCACACCAGAGCACCCACCAACCACCCACACACTAAATAGTCGAAATGAAGTCTACAGCAATTATTCAAAAGAATAACACAGCACCAGACATACAGAGAGATTGCCAATACTTACTGTTCAGTCCTTTGTCAAACCACTCGCTGGACTGGTATATGTACCATGACTTGGTGGAGTCCTTGTCTCCATAAACACCACAACACTTGAACTGAGTGGTGAGAGGGGGAAAAAAAAAGGATTTTCATATCCATTGTATGGTTGGGAATTTTGTCAATACAATGACAATGATCTTTCATCTTTCTTTAATTCAGTTCAATTTGAGTAAAGAGAAGTTTATTAAACAGATAACGGTTGCTTAGCACTGGAAGAGAACAAGACCTATGGAGAATTCTTTCAGATAAAGAGAAGCATCTCTTTACAATAATGGTCAATCAGAGTAGGGAAAAGTAAAACAAACACGAATAGCAGAAGGAAAGAGCAGAAGTAGACCTTACCCGTGGCATCCTCCACCGATAGACAAACAATAAATGAATATAAGCATGACGGATGTATCTAAATAAAATTTCTCCTTAAGAAAGGCAAATGGACTATGGATCATATTCAGTAACTAAAATGACAAAATCTGATGCTAGGATATTTTTTCATGCCTCAGTATGTGCAGTTTTCTGTTCTATTCTGTATGGAGTGCAACTATTACATCACTCATCAATGTCTCACATTCAACAGTGTGTTGTATCAATTTGCATCCATACACATTTTCAAACATGCTTCATTCATTTTCTACAATTTGATGTGAAACACTTGCAAGTTTCAATAAAATAATAAGCCATCAACACTCATTTTAAACATGACCCACTCATTCTGAACAATATTGAAAAATCAATTCCATCAAACTGTGGGAATCAATTTCAGTGTTAATGAGTTTTAAAAAGCAAGACCTACAATTCGCACTCTTTGTCCTCCCCCACAACATGGCAGTTTTTCTTTCAACATAATGAACAATATAATGTTACACAAAATATGTACCTGGAGTAAAAACATAGATGGGTTTGAGTTTGAGTAAAGAGAAGACAATTACGGTCATATAAGTACAGGGAAGAAGCAAGACATAGACAGAAACACCAGAGAGAAAGAGAAGTTATGCAAGACCTACTGGTGGATGGAGGGGGGGGGGGGGTCGGGAGAATCATATCTACACGTATTGTGATTGTTGTTTTTTGAACTTACAGCCTGCTGTACTTCATCCCAGGCATTGGTGATGACTCGGTTTGAGCCACTCTTATCCAGGTCCACTCCATAGTTGTTGACAATAACCTGTTCCATTTTGTCACGCACCTTGTCCTCCAACTGAAAGCAATACAGAGAGAGGATCTGAACATCAACCACATCACAGATACTAAAGCACACTCTAAAATCGTCAACGTAAACAAATATTTAAACAAAGATTTCATTGAATCAAAAAAGGAGTATTAAAATAACTATAGATATCTTAATTCAAAGCTCCAGTTGTAAGCAATGCCAATATTCAAAGTCAGGCTCCATGGCAATAATATAATCAAACTATAACAACAGAAATACAAAGCAAGTTCTCACTTAACTTTTCCTAACCCTCACCACAAACACAGTGGCAAACCTCATTGACAGCACTATAGGAAAACAGGACCCAAGCAATTTCTCTCCACACAATTTACAAAAGGGGTCAAGTATCAATGTGAAAGAATCTAGACAATAAAAATGTATCTTATCTTATCTCATCTTATCTCTTATACGATACCTCTGATGCTGCGTAATAGGAGTTTAGGTTGAAAAGAAATATATATGTATATATTACATATGTATGTATATTATTTCCTTTCCATCACAAACAAAAACCCCCTCTCAACCTGAAACTCAATAATACCATACTACTCACACAGAGAGAGCTACATACCTCACTGACTAGGACATAACCCAGAACTCCAGCCACAAAAAGCATCACAGACATGAAAGCCAGCAGGCCCAAGTGCTGAGGGAGAGAAGAAAAGACTTTAAATTCCATTCTTCAAAGAAAGCCTTCACTGCATGACTAGCAATATATGATCTTACTCCTTGTCTTACAACAACAGCCAAATCTGGGATGGAAGGATGGCTGTGTTTAAATCCATAGCAAAGCATACATAAAAAACAAACTTCTGTAGAGCATTTGTTGCGCTCTTCACTTTGCTCATGAAAAAAGTCGGATTCCCATCTAGGAAAAATATTTCATTGAATTTATCTTAAATTTCAGCAGGGATGCGCAAGTCCCATTCAGCATAGGTTTGCCCTGACAGACCAGGATAAGGGTCAAGCCTGTGGATGTAACACACTTACAATCATGGAACAAAAATAACTAAAATCACTGATTTACTAAATTGAAAGAGCTAATGCAACAGTTCAGATGGGCTATAAATTGTCACAGAAAGAACACTGATGACGAAGTGTATGAGCATGTGGTAGAAGTAGGTGTGGGTTAGACTAGAGTGAGCATCCAAAGATAGAAAAAAAAAAGGAACGCTAAAATAGAACAGATATGAAGAAGATTGTGGCCCAAAGGAAGACAGGTTTTATAATAAAGTCAAAATAACATATCATGAGTGCCCATATTACAAAATATAGGTCATAAATCGAGAGAAACAAATGGACACTTTTCATAGATACCACAAATTTTCACCACCTCCCCACTTTCATCAGTCTGTCTCTCCTACTCACTAAGCCAAGAAGACACCGGTACTCTTTCATGACTCCGAGTATGCCGACAATTGTGATCATGATGATGGCACTGCCTCCGATGATCAAAAGGTACGAGTCCACTTTGTACAGCTGTGCACTGATAAGCTCAGACACTTGCTTGTTACCATATTCGGCTTCCAGTGTCCATATCCCAATGCCAAGGATAGCTATTGCTCCAATCTAATGCAAAGAAAATGAAAAACAAAGAAAACATTACTTATAGATTCAAACTAACTTTTCCCCTCTATCTTCCAGTACAAACTAGTAAATGAAAATCGTTTAAACGGTGAAAGTACTAAACGTTAATACTTTCCCGCCTCCATATCGCCGATTGGCAATGTTTACAACCCAGTTTCTTTGGATTTTCCCCAAAAAGCCTTTGCCTTTGATGGCAAGGGTTTTTACTATGAGCCTTGTGATGGCAAAGTATTAAACAAAGGGTTTTTAGCAACAGATACAAATGAAAAATTTTTGCTAGATTTTTTAACTACCATTTACATGACAGGGGGGTGGCCTTTTTTTTTTTAAGTTGCAAAAAATATATTGATTTCAAATAAACAAACAACAGAAAACCGCCAAATTCCAAACATCAATAGGCAAAGATAACTTTACCAACACTATGAACAAGCAATATTATTCCCAAAATACTTAATAGGCATTAAATACAAGAGAAGAGAAATTAGAGTAAACAAAACATTCACCATAAAAGAAAATATTAATTCAACATTACTTAGCCTTGAATATGATGGTGAGGCAGAATATATACCCAGACCTTAAAACAAGGCATGAGAAAGAAAACTAAAAAAAACGTGATTGAATGGTTCTCTACAGTTGTCTAGACAGTGCAGCTTGCTTACCATCACAATCGCCAAGAAACTGAGCAAAGCAAAGCGAATCCCTCGGACGACCTGAGGATTCAAGGTCTTGGCATTGTCATCTAGGTCATAAAGTTCATACGACATACTGGAGTCTGTACTGATGACACTGACACTCTGCAAGAACTTTCTCGTTAAGCGCATCCCAAAAGTAACTTTCCACTGTGCAATCTGAAAACAGACAGAAACAAATATTGATGTTAGAATGTGACTGATTTTTTAAATATTTATATGGTCGCTTTTAGGCCCAAGGAGGCTATCCCGAAAAATGCCGTTTTGAGAAAATCGAAGGTAAAGTTTTGGGACCCTTGGTCCGTTTCTATAAAAGACAAGGAGAGTTTTCTCTATCACCAAACAAATATATACACACTAATGAAACCAAACTTCTGCTATAGGTAGGGCAATGCCCACTTTAGGTGTAGGTTAAGATATCTGGAAACTCCCGAAATCTGGGTTAGCCCGCTTGTCCTTAAAAGCGACCATATATAACAGATTTTTTGGCAAAAGGTGGAATACCTGAGTGTGACAAATGAGGTCTGAAATCAATTTATTATGAGTAGTAACTCTTAAAACTCATCCATATTATGCAGCCTAATAATTGCTCTTACAGGTTCGGCAATTGTCAAAGATGCAATGGTCTTGGTGACGTACTGGTTTAAATATGATGGTAAGAGTACTGAAAAGTTTAAATTCATAAGAGCAGTGACATGAATTTGTATATATTATTATAAAGGGTATCCTATCTGTTTTTGATGGTCTTTAACACTTGAGATCATTGGTGCCTGCTCCAGGCCTGACAACAGCCTGAAGGAGGAGGAATTAGTTATGTAAAAGTTATTTAGTCATTCATAACTTCCGCTTAGTGCAATGTCAACAATATGGATACGGTCACTCATCTGATGTTAACACCTTATTTCATAGCAGAAAAACAAAACACTCGACACTCGGGTAAGAACTACAGATTTAAAAAAAAACACTGTGCTATCCACCGATCTACAGAATGCACAACAATCGATGGATTGTTGCGCATTCCATGGATCCATAAAATGCTTTGCGCGAATCGACAGAACACGCCTTAATGTTACATTAACTCTTAGTCGCTGAGCGTTAAATATCATATCGGCACGCGCTTTGAAAAGTAATCATTTAGAACTAGAAGTAATCGTCGGTAAAGCCATAACCCACACTCCATATAGGTTATCATTGGGCAAAACCGGATTATCCCACTGTTTCATTATATGTTTATTTTTTTGTTAGTTTTTTGTCTTTTTTAGAATGGGGTTTTACGCCGCTCCCAACTGCTTTTTATGTTAAAGGAAGTTGGGTCATACTAAAATAAATGCGAGAAGACACGAAAAGACGCGAAATCACACTTGAAAAAGATATGAAAAGACACCTCTGATCGCGTCCCTTCAGATTTCAGACTCATTTTTAGGGTTACTTTGATCAAGATTGAAGTAATCCTCACCATCTACCATCCCTACAAATTTGTATACATATATTCCGCCATGATGAACACCCGAGACTTCCGGAAGAATGCCAGACTGGCTCATGACGTTGTTTCGATGTTTAATTTCTTCTTTTTTTTTTTCGGGTCGCCTTACAATTATTATACAGTAAAATATTATTAATTATGTAACTACTGTGATAGACAGGACTTTCCTTACTTAAATGCGCCGGGTACCACTGTGACTCTGTCACTGTGACAAGTCCAAGTGAAAAATTACATTGTTAACCATCCTGTAGAAGCCGGGTAAATATGCTCCCCGAAGCGTATTTCGGCACATTGCCTTCGTTCCGGTCCCATATCAGATCTACTCTACTTTGATCAACTTTGTCACTTTGTTGTGTCAGTGTCACTGCAGTTTTGATTTTCATGGAATATGGCATATGGAATGGCCATCTCACAATATCATACAAACCGATTCATTTGAATTCATAACTTAAATACTTACATTTCGAGTTCTAGACCTAGATTCTAAATGAAATTCACCTCCATGAAGAAAAAATAGAATTAGTTTCTAGTCAAAACAAATGGCCACCGCTGACTTTGGCGGCCATTTATAAACAAAGTACAAAGTAGTTCAGAATGTTTTTCCACTTCCGGTTTCTGACCTTCGCGACCGCAAGCCTCAGACCAGTGGCAACAATTCACCGTGCAAAAGGTCATAGATTTGTCATAACATCCTAGATTGTACACTCTAATTTTGTTTTAGCACACTACGGACTGCGCTGCTTTACTCAAATCGAAGCTAATTCAAGGGGAATTGTACTGTTGAGCACTCCAATATTCATACATTACAGAAAATTGTGCTTTTCTCTTTATTTGCACACCCATGAAACACGCTTCTCTGCGAAGTTTCACAGAGAGCACAACTCTAACTGTGCACAATCTAGCCTAGTATATTATATAAGTCTATGGCTCAGGTCCTTCGTTGTTTCGTGCATTCACGCATTTCGTTGAATCATGCTTCAACTGGATGGATTTAAATTGTTGAGTGCAAAACAGTTCTAACAAAGAGTTTATTTCTTTCCTTGTATAGGTCCATCTGTGAAGAACATATTGCAATAACCTAAAAACGTTGAAATTTTTTTATCCTTGAGAGTCATGCCGTACGTAATTACTCTATCGCTACGCTCAAGTACAATTTGTTTAATGAGTTTTCCCTCGGGAGACGAAGAGTTTTTTTACCAGCCTGACCACTAAAACACAAGTTGAGGCTAGATTTTTTAAAATTATTATGTATTTATTTATTTGTTTATTTTTGTTTATTTATTTATTTTGGCTATTTATTTATTAATCAATTTAATGATTCCGAGAAAATTAAATTCAGATCTAACAAAATTATTAATCACTTAATTAGGCCTGTGCCCACTCCCTGGGCATGCGCTTCATTAATTAATTGTAGCCTACAATAATTTATATTTCAAATACGGCGCATAAATCATAGTCAAGGCTCTAATACACGCTGTTATTATACCAAGTGCTGGCAAAATACAACAAACAAAAAACAAACACAGTTCATGGCTGCTGACCACACTTGTTTTTGGAAGAAGAATGAATTAATAAACCCATTCAAACACTAATGGCACATAATAAACAGCTATAACTTTTTAGTCAACTGGCGTAACTGATTTAGATGAAAAAGAAAAAGTAATGATGCTGTGGTCGAGTTCTCTTTTTTTTGGGTCTAGTGCAGTAAAAAATTCGTGATCGCAATATAACTAATTAATTATAACAAACTCTTTAAATTAGCTGTTGACTCAATATATTATGTCATCGATATATATGCACAGCAGTTTAAATTGTATCAATTTGTCATACTTTATCAACTATTATTATAAATTATAGGCTTGATTAAAAAACTTTAACTTTTCTTCATAAATTTATACTAAATACTAGGCCTACATGATATATATATATATATATATATATATATATATATATATATATATATATATATATATATATATATATATATATATATATATATATCTCGATATATGCGAAGATGGGATTGTTCACCTCATTTTATTATTATTAGGACTTATTAGGCCAAGGAGGTTAGCAGTAGGCTCCTTCATGACTCCTACTCGAGCAGCCAGGATTCTTTGCAGTTTTGTTGTTGTTTTTAACCAAGTAACATATGCAGATTCTTTTAACCCCCCATATTGTTAAATTTACTATTTTCAAACATCAATAACTCTATATAACTATTGATTTGCACCAAGGAGATTAAAAGTAAGTTCTAAACTCCTTGATTTGCACCGAAAATGAAGACCTTATATTCGTGTTTAGCATGCAAAATACTACATGTACTAGAAAAGAAGTATATAAAACGTGAACATGAGACGGGTGCATGAGTTTTAATAAAAACCTACAAATAAATGTTAACAATTTTTTAATGGGGTTTTCTTTTATCATAATTTTATGTGTAGGCCTGTTTGGTTTGGGGAGTTTCCGCCAAAAATAGCTTTTTTAGGGACTGAAATAAGTTGTACCATAATCTGAACCATCCATTGTTTGACACCAGGACGGATGTAGATCTTCTGTAACTAATAGGGGACATTACTCAAAGAATACTTTCAACATCTGTTTACAGTGCTATTATTATGAAACATCAATCGCAATAACGAACGAACATGGCAAGTAGGGCGATCGGTCGGGCGACTGTGAGAGCAGTTACCTCAAAAAGATTAACTCCACAAAAGGCTCCTCTTGTTTTGGTAAGCTTTTTTTCTTTGTTCCACCCCCCCCCCCCCCCATTTGAAACTGGTGACTGAAGAATGTGCATGTCCAGCAAGCAGCAATCATTCTTCTGTCTCTCTGTCCTCTGAATAATTTCATCACATAATCTAGATATCTAGATCTAGATCTAGATCTAGAATCTAGATCTAGATATAGATCTAGATCTAGATCATCTAGATGTAGATCTCATGATAATTAATAGACTAAATTTAGATCTAGATCTAGATCTAGCTCTAGAGAAATCTAGATTCTAGAAAATTAGAGTCTTTCTATTTTTTTCTCTCTCTCAAAAATCAAATGACATTGGATCTTAGATCTAGAATCTAGATCTAGAATCTACACATCTAGAGAGAATCTAGATCTAGAATCTAGATCTAAACAGTGGCGGTGGGTAGTGAAGGGCTCACGGGCTCTCCTTAATGAAACCCCTCTTGTAAAAAGGTAGAAGACTTCTTGAAAAAATAACACTGCCCAGCAGAGGGTTCACGCTCTCCCTACCCTGACAATGGGGTGAAAGTTTACGACACACTTTCCCCCAGTGACACAGTTTACCTATGCGCCCATTGGGCCTTTGTTAGGCGCGTTCTATTTTCTGCGACACGACACAAATCCACCTCATGCACGGTGTGTGTTTGGGGTGCTGTGTGTTTGTGTCGCTGAGATTTAACAGAGTTATTAATTCAAAGTGACTATTCGGACTCGAGTCCGAATATGAAAAAATGTTATTCGGACTCTGATTCTTGTCCAGCATGACATCACTTCCGACTTTCTGTGACTCGTGACTCCGGCTTCCTGTCCTGCCTCACTCATGACTCGCGTCAGGCTGGGTAGAGACCGGGATCACTTCGGGCAAAATGGCGTTAAATTGTGCCGGAGCCGAGTTTTTATCTTATGATGAATTTGAGGCCGGCCTGAAAAGTTAGAGCGCTTCTAATAAATGTTTATTTTTTCAAGAGGTCATCAGAAAGAAGCAATTAAAGATGGCTCGTTAGCGTGTGTCGGGGTCGGATGTCTGGCCTGCACACGTGTAGCTGCGTGTGTGTGTCGGGGGTTGGGGGGTGCTATCGGTCTGGGCGTTGTTGAACGTCGCATACGTGTCAGTCACCCCCCCCCCCCCCCCAGCAACTGATCATTATTACAATAATAAGCTAGTCTTGACCTAGATCTACGTTATGAATTGTGCGCTGGTCTATGGAATCTATGAAAAGTTGCCATATATATGCTCGGCTCTACACAGCAACACAACTTTTTCTTGGTAAACAATCGAGATGACACAGGCTTGTGTATTTGAACGAATCTGTCTTTTTTTTTTTTTTTTTGCGCAGCTCATAATATGCAGGTGCCAGGAGAGCTGCTAATCTTCAATTTTACCTTTTTCTACAACAAAGAAAGTGGGAAACATGGGGGGGGGGGGGGCGTATCAATGAGGCGGCGGGCATCGGATCGGCAGACAAGGTGCGGGAGAAACTAAAAAATGGCGGAAAATTGGAAGCACTGAATGTTAGATCTATGGAACGAAGATACTTCCTTTTTTTCCGGACCCATATCCTAATAAAAAATTTTCTTATTCGGACTCGAGTTTGAATATGAAATTTTTTTATTCGGACTCGGGTCCGAATATGAAAAAATGTTATTCGGACTCGAGTCCGAATAATGACGGCCTTATACTTTTGAGGCAACTGTTTCATCAAATAAAAACTAATTAGAGAAATTTGGAGGTGAAACGGCTGCGTCCCCACCATCCACAAGAATTTAACGTAGAACAAAGAGATGGCAGACAAAGGTGACTCTTCTCGTTTGAATGGTTCTCAAAATGCTGTGGCTCACCGGGAGTATAGAAAAATCATCACTGTGTTGTTCTTATTGCTTGCTTTTTGGTGGTAAAGAACTGGAAGAAACCTAATCTAGGTTCACTCACCGCCACTGGATCTAAATCTAGATCTAGATCTAGATCTAGATTTATCTAAATATATATATCTAGATATCTATACCACACACACCTCCAAAATAAGTCAAAATAAAATATTTATAATCGATTATAGTTGTTTATTTTTATCTTAAATGAGGCAAAAGACATCAAACTTTCAAGATAAAAAAAACAAAAATTTCATGGAAAGTCACTTTTTTATCTTTCGAGCCTCGTAGCTGATAATAGCACACTGCGTCTTATGACATGATATTGACCGGAGGAGACAGAATTATTCAAGGACAAGTGTGTCTGCACTATTCTAGGCGATTTTCATATTCCACACGCAGTTGGGTTTTTTTGTCACGTCTTGAATTGACTTAATAGCCTACTCGTAATTTAGATTTGGTGGGTTGGGACATTAAAGTAAGATAAGATTTTCTTGATGAATTTCTAGGCCTACAGTAGATTGGTTTTTTTGGTAATGAACAGTGATGTTATAATTTTTTATACACACTCTTAAAATGTCATTTTTAGTTTTACAGGGTTTTACAGGGTATATTTTTTGTTAATTTCTAGGCTATCTCACATGAAAACATAATTAGCCATTTTCATTTTTACGCCACCATCAACACAAGATCATTTTGGAGGCGAGCTTCCTACCCTGCTAGAGTGTCAGAGCCAACCCAGGCTGAGAGGGATATATGACATCCCAGCCCGAAGACCAGGATACTTGATATATATAGCATAATATAATTTAAATGAAATGAAATAATTTTTTCCCACTCTGGAGTCAAACTTGGGTCTCCTGCATGTGATGGCAAAGCACCTCTAACCACTATACAACTGACACCAGTAATTTTACAAGAATCATTTTGTTACTGATTGATCTCGTACGTCCATAGGAATGAACCATACCACACACATAGTCACCATAGTAGAATCAATAGAATACAGAAATTGTCATCGCGAAATGCTTTCCACATCCCACTGATTTTACTTTGTCTCTTTAATTATGATGTACGTGTTTAAGATAAAAAGAATATGGTCATGATGTTAAGTAAAAAATTCAGGACATGCTTGACTTTTTATGTAAATTATGATCATATATTTTTCTCAACTGCACCTCTACCAGAAATTTGACTGTCAAAATTATTACAAGCATAATAATAGTTATGTTCTTGGCATCTAAGTTGTTTCTGTTTAAATTTGATTAGTACAAAATTATTAAGAATCTCAGAAACAATTATACAATAATTATCGGAAGATCAGAGTGAATCTGACTTACTCCATCGCCTGAATTTACCAAATCCACACAGAAACAGACACACACAAACACACACACACACAAACACACACACACACTCTCTCTCTCTCTCTCTCTCTCTCTCTCTCTCTCTCTCTC